GCGAAATGTCGCGGAAGCAAGAGTCACCACCGTCTTTTATTTTCTCCAAATGGAAAGGACAAAAGCACAGAAAAATTCCTTAAAGAGATTGCTCTCGGTTCAGGAGGTAGATTATAGAAAGGGAAGGTATTAGCACCCTTTCTATCCATGGTTATCCATGGGCTCTTAGATACTTGCTCATTGTGTTTTCAAAAATGGTTTGTTTGCTTTTCAACTGTGGGTTTTAAAAAGTTTCTTTGAAAATTTCAGTTCGACTCTTGTATCGGTCCTCAAGAGTGTTTGAAAAATTGCTTTTGAAAGCTTTTGAAAATGTGTCGGTGTGAAAAGTATTTTTGAATTTGTTTTGAAATTAGAGCAAGTATCTAGAGTCGTCTACCTACCCTAAGGAATTCGTCTGTGTAGATGTCCTTTAAAGTAGTGCCATCCTGCCATTGAGAGGTAGGTAGCACTACCGTTGGAGGTGTTCGGGTCAATTCGAGGTTCGGGACATGGTGATCACCAGAGCAATGGGAAGACACCTTAGAAGCTACCCTCATGCCAGGTTCCCGGATCATGAGGGCTTACTAAGACATCCTCTACTCGACGATCACCTTTCGAGGCAAGGCAACAGTGAGGCGTACCCTAGGGGTGGTGTGTGATTTGTGTGTCAGATTCAGATATTTTTGTCTTTTGTCATGTTAAAGGTGATCTAGCGTTTGTTTTTATTTTTGTCCATACATTCTTTCATGCCTTGATTTAACAGTTAAAAGTATTGCGGGAAAGTAAAAATTCTAAGCTATTACAAAAGGCGCGGGTCCACATCGCCAAAATTTCTCGAACCCGATTTGACAGAAAAAAATAAATAAAGAAATAAAGAGTGCGAGAAAGTTAATTACAAGGCTTCGGGAGAGATACAGAAATGTTAAACGAAATAAGATAAATGCGCGAATTAAATGAGAATTAAACGAGGGCGTTGGACCCTTTTTGCAAAATTAAATTAAACGATGAATTAATTAAAATTAAAAGGAAAAGAAATTGTCTTTTTGGTATTTTTTTGGTATTTTGTAATTTTAATGGAAAAGAATTAAGTAAAATAAATGCTAACCCTAATTCTACAATTTTAATTTATTAAAAAGAAGATTAAAGTTTTACCCTAAAATTAACCCTAATTAATTTACATGCATTTTAATTACAAAAATAAATATTTAATGTTTTAATTATTTATGAAAGAAAAATATAAAAAAAGATGACAATTAATTAACCCTAATTCTATGTTTTTTAGATTTTTATTAAAAGAATTTAAAATTAAAACCTAAATTTAAAACTAATCAATTAAAGTTATTTATTCACAAAAAATACTAAAATAAAAATATTTATTAGTTTTTTATCCTTTTTTCTGATTTTTTTGTGTGTTTTTTATATTTATGAAAATAATAAATTAATTAAGAAAATAATAATTTAAAAGGAAATAGAAAATAAAAAAATATAAAAAAATAGAGAAAGTAGAAAGAATTGCAAACCTAGGGGGTCCGCCCCTTAATATGGAGGTTAATCTTGAGAAATCTGGCCCATTAACCTTGGTCCGTTTGACTTCCATGCCAGCATGCATACGCGTTGACCAAGGCTTACCATAGTCTCCAAATCTGTGCCTTTGAATTGATGACGTTGGACGCGTGGATGGTTTGATGGTGGACTACGTGGTACGCTTCTTGTATTGAAATTGCACAGGATAACGTTTGAAATAAAAATAATATGAAAGGGTGGGGACCTGGGGCTCGAACCCAGGTCCTTTGGTTTACCAGTCACTATGCTTGCCAGTGGAGCTATCATGTCTATCTGTAAATAATATAGTTAATAAACATAATAAAACAAAACGCGTTAGTGCTTCCTTTTTTCGCGCGAACTTTTGAATTAACCAATCAGCTTATGCCACCGAACCATCTTCTTCGTTGTGTTTTTTTTTTCTGAAATACAAAGGCAATAAGCAACCGTTTTGCAAGCGTTCTAAAAGGTCCCTTTCCAGAAAATAACGAATAGCTCTAGGACGCTCATAAATTGAGCGCGAGGGTGGATTCTTGATCGTCCAGACACGCTGATTCCAATGGTCCAGGTCTCGAGTCTCAATTTTTCTTTGAGTGTAAAGCCCCAAATTGCAATTCCTGTAACCCTAAAAAACGATAATGGCGAAATCTCCAATAACACATGAAAGCTTAATTAAATGATAGGTTAGCTTCAGAATGCTTCACTTAGTATGAATCCACAATTAAAATGTCATGAAAATGCATAGATGTTAAAACACGATTATGAAACAAAAGTGGAAAAGTGTGACTTCTGTGCAATGATTCGAGGCGTTAGGGACGTGGAAATCTATTCAGGCACGTTGCTGAAGGTCTCAGGAAGGTGATGAGATGAATATCTCAGCTTGAATCGCCCTCTAGCCTTGTTTTCAGATTTCAAATTTTTGACCAAAAACTCAAGTTTTGTCCTGAGTCTGTAGCGCAGCTTAGTGGTTCTCTTGATTAGGTTTTCGTTCTATGCTTATGTATGAATATATTAGGTCAACAAACTTGATCAGAATCTCTTGCATTCATGGCTTTTGAGATTTGATTTTCAATCATATTTTTTTCAATCTTTTTCATGTGTTTTTTGTACAAATCATGATCAATTCTCTCCAAATCTTTCCCTATTTAATTATACACGAATTATTGAGTAGATTTCATGCACAAAAAGATTGTAAAACTTAGGTTAAATATTTTTCATGTATTTAATTTGATTTAAATGAATTATTATTAATAAAAATTCAAATAAATAAATAAAAAATGAAGAAATACTTCCCTTTGGGCCAAGTGGTCGTGCACATGCTTGGGATGATGAATTATGGAAGAAAAATAGGCCCATTAGCAATTTTAGGTCATTTGAATTAATGTTGACTTTTCAAAATATCCAAACATTTCCCAACTTCCACAAGGCATAACTTGCTCAATTTTTAAGCTTTTCTCATGTTCTTGGACATTTTGGAAAGGTCTTTGAGTCCTCTAACCAATGTATTTGGTCCCATGTCATTTTGATTTACCAATCTCAAGTTATGGCCTTTGACTTAAAGTCCCTTTTTGTTGACTTTTGAAAATGACCTATAATGTTGAAATTGATAACTTTTTGTGAGAGCATTTCTTGGACTTGAAGTATGTAAATTAGTTGTAGGAAATGTCTTTCTCTTCAAAATGAGCTTTGGATGGAATTTTTCTGATAATCCATGTGAAAGTTATGCCCTGGTCAATTTATAGTTGACTTTTCCAGCTGTCCAAATAAGGAAACTTTTGCATCTTGATGATTTTTGAGCCTAGCTTTGAGAATCATGATCAAGCATTGATCAAATGTTGTTTGTGGCTTTAAAATGAGATGTTGATCAAAAATTTGAACTTTTGACTGTCAAATGACCATTTTGCCCCTACAGTTGACTGTAGTGCAATTAGGGTTTTTTGACTGTGCAATTTTGTGCTGGAAGTCTTGAAACTTGGTATGAGGATGCTTGAACATATTTGTAGGCATGTGGGACTTGATTGGACCTTTGGAAACTTCATTTTCTTGATCAGAATAAAAACCCTAATTTTGACTGCTTAGGAGGCCTTGCACTGTGCAACCCTTGGGGAATCTTGAAGCTTGACTTGGCTAATCTTTGAAGAATATGGGAGGGCAAATTTTGGGGTACAACAATATGTACACGGATAATGCAAGCAAGCTTGAAGAAGCACATACATAAAAGAGTAAGGAAAAGAAGAGAAATGCTTTAGCCAAGGGGAACGTATCACCCGAGACAAACAAGCGGGGGTGAGATAAAGAAAAAAATGTGATGTTCAAAGCGACTGAACACCTAACCAAGATATAGGAGATCGAGGTAAGTGACAGAAGACAATATGAACAATCATGGAGTATCAGCATTGGCCAATGCAAACTCCTGACAAAGCGTGGGGGTTCGATTGCAGAACCCTTCCCCACTTGAAGACTCTATATAAAAGAGAAAGCACAACTCTAAAGCTTCGTGGTGCGTCACGAGCTAAGGATGACACAGACGAAGTTGCGGGGGTTGATTTCTAACCCTCTCCGCTCGCCTCCTTTTGAGGACTTCAATAAGGGATATGGGAATAGTGCGGGCACAAATATAAACTCACTTGCAAAATACCTACTCAAAGGTAGGGTTTTAAACAAACCACACACAAGTAGCAAATAGAATGCACACAATACGGAATTGTCCTAAACAGGTCTTTAAATAAGCCAGAGGGGTTCCTAACATGATCAGCAACGGAGACCCTCGTCATACATATCTATTCCTACTTCTCATGGAATCAGAAAGCAGTAAATCCCTACTTCTCATGATCTCTAGAAAAGTGGTAAAGAAGTATGATAAAATGCGGAAGTGAAGAATAAAATAAAATTGCGATGATACCGAACGGAGAAAGTCTGATGCCTCTTCAAAACCATGTAAGCGATAAGAAAACTCTACAAAAGCTGCTTTACATAAGTGATCAAATGAATTAATCTCCAAGCATTCCACATTGCGAAAGTTACATGGACATTCTATCACAAAATCTTAGCTAAAAAATGACAATGAAAATGATTATTTAAACAAAAAAATAATAGAAAACTTTAAGGAAAATTCTAAAGGGAGACCTTAAAAAATTCTGAAATATTCTACTATTTGGTATCATTTTTATTGCTATCTTATTTGTCAAGAATTAATAAAAAAAATTAAAAGAACAGTCTAAAATAATGTAAACCAAAAAACACAAAACCAGGAGGTGTATGGGACATAGGAGAATATGATCTAGCAAAATGGAATTAAGCCTAACCAAAAGAACCAGGAGTATTTTTTGTTACAAGCATAGCTACCAAAAAATGGTAGTAATGCGATTTGGTAAAGGGAATCGGTCCAGCATTCACCAATCCATCAGATATTAGGGTTCTTTTGTCTTCTCCACGAACATCTTTCGCTCTCAAACGGCGCCGATGCCGTCAAACACCACCTAGAGTAAACAATCGCTACCGTCAAACCCAACATCAGCCTCATCTCTTTGAACCTCCAACTTCTTATTTGATTCGGCCTCATCATTTAATTTTCCATCTCCTTCTGATTTCAGATTCATCATCATGGCTTCTCGATCGTGAAATCCTAAAGCACCATAACCTGAAAATGGGAATAAGTTTAGAAAGAGATCAACACAAAATCAATAAATGAGAATTCCAATGCTCAGGAATGATCTTCTTCTCTGAATTCGTTTAAGCCTTCACGTTTTACTTTTTCCTTCTGTGATTTATACTGCGACGTTATGGAGTTGAGATTGTTGACACGGATTCAGTGACGTTGTTCTAGGTTAGACGATATTTTAATGATGAAGCGTGATGTAAATCGAAGAGTGAAGTTCAGAGGTGATGAATATTAATATGTTGTAGAAAGCTTTCCTAATGAGATGAAGAATCATGACCTTCTGATGAAAGTTACTGATGATTGAAGATGCAGAGTTGATGAAGATTTTGATTTGATGGTGATGAAGATCGTGTGCTATTCAGAGAGATTTTGCAGAGAAGGTTTTTGTGAATTTCCTGGTGAGTTTCTTTGTGATGTTCTTTCTCTCTGGTTTCTTTGTGAGTTTCTGATTGAATCTGAAATCGTGAACCCTCCTTTGTAAATAGAAACTCTATTATCAGTAGAGAGAATGAAGAGGAGTGCAGAGATTGAAGGGGTGCAATGATGGTGGTGGTGGCTCCGGAAGGAAGAAGATGAAGATAAAGGGAGGTTCGAAACAGAGAAAAATGAGAGAGTGTAGAGAGGTGAAGAAAAATTTCAGAGGCTTTCTTTTTTGGTGAGTTTTTTCTTCTTCTAAATCTTATGAAAGCTGAATCGTGAATCCTCTCTCTCTCTCTCTCTCTCTCTCTCACTCTCTCTCCCTTTTTGTTATTATGTTATATGTTAGTTAGGGGTTGTTAGAGGTTGTTAGCTCAATTTTAGGAGTGAAATTCTGCTATGAGGTTTCTGTTATAGACAGTTATGGAGTTGGTTAGGCAGTTTATAGGAAATTATGTTACAGTAGATAAGTGGTGAACTGGAAAATTGGTTAGAGGGGAGGTCTGTTTCGGTTAAGAGTTGGTTGGGAATAGGTTCGAAAAACAATTAGGGATTGGTTACAGGATTAGTTTTTTTATTATATTAGTTGTGATGAGCTGTTAGTTATAGTGGTTAGAAAACAGTTAAGATGTTGTTGAAATCTGTTTTTGTTTAATTATTTTTTCCTGACTTAACTCTCTTTCTATTTTCATTTTCTGTAGCAGGGTCACGGTTTGCCCATGGTTTGTCATGACGAATTTTGTGACAAAGCTTATAGCGGGCGAGGTATAACAAAGCTCTTCTGAACATAGCACGATTTGTCTTTGTGCATGAGTGCTAGGATGTATTTGGTTGATCATTCGAAACATGGCTGGAATTACAGGGCCATGGTTAACTGAATTCTTTGTTTTGATTGTGCAAGACTGATTTGAGTCATGGCTTATAATGTTGATGAATATGTGAAGTTGTTGAACTCCTAGAAGAAGCATGAAGATAGGTGGAGAAACTCTTGGGCATAGCATGGAGTGTTAACAAGATGAAATTATGATAGATCTTAGGATGAAACTTAAGTCTAAACCAAATTTTGTGTAATTTTCTTGATCATGTAATATAATTGAAAAGGGGATATAATTTGGTATTTCATTTAATAATAGGAATTCTCTCTCGAATCAAGTGTTACATGATCTTATAACTCCTTAAATTCAAATGAAGTATTCTCCCGAACATTCAAAGTGCTTCTTTGCTTCTTTCTTGTATTTTAACATTCCATTTTCCTTGTGATGGCTTCTTATGAAGCTTCTTTCTATTTGTGAATTCAAATGTTCTTCATACTTAAACATCTTAAAATGCCAAGTACAAATTCAAATATATTTTCCACGTGACTTGGTACATAAAAATCCATCTTAAAAAATCAGCTTTCTAGTCAAATGAAAACATCCCCACTCTTGCATTTCAAACCAATGTATTTACTTGAACTAGATTAATGAATAATAGCCAATTTTTATGGTTAAAGTAGAGAAAGAGTCTCATAAGACTTGGTAAACTGTGAAATGACTATCTTTCAAATCCTCTTTTCCATGATGCACACAGATACCAATAGCCATTGTTTTTTAATATGAGTAGAGATATCAAAGATTGGGGAAAAAGTTGACTTTACCAAGACATCTTCTCTTTCCAAGCAAACCTTTATTAGATACATACACCTCAAACTCCATGAAACCCTGCTTGCATGATCACTGATCTTGTACCTCAGGTGCATTATTGAATGTAAATGTATGCCATATTAGTGACCTAATAGAATATATGCATATGAATGCAAAAGCCTGAGCCAGATAAAAGTGAAAGGGGTAGGACAAATTTGGGGTATTACACCAGTCTGTGGGAGCTGTGCTAATTTCTAATCCCGCGGCAGTGCAACAACATCAAAAACGAAATCAACGTAGGTCAGACGCACCCAGGAGATAATTTACTAAGATCAACATGCCTTTGTCTCAGGCATTACAACTGTTAGAACATAGTTTGATTCTACAACCCTTATAAGAGTTTTGATGATAACAAACACAAAGAACTAATATGTGAAGATGTGAAAAACACAAGAAGGGGGGGTTGAATTGAAAAACTTAAATCAAAAGGCTTAACAACACAGTATTTTTATCCTGGTTCGTTTGATCTCAAACTACTCCAGTCCACCCGTCAAGGTGATTTCGCCTCTCTCCAACGAGGTCTTAATCCACTAATCTCAAAGGATTACAACAGCTACTTTAACAACTGTTAAAGTCTTCTTGAGTATAACCACAAACCGGTTTATCTCAAGGAAATCTTTTACAAATAATTGAACAAGAGTGTGTTGTTGTTTTCTAACAAAACAGTATATCACAATTGTGATAGTTACACAAATTAAGCTTGGAATAAAATAAAATTGCTAGAGCTTGAATATGCGTGATTTGGAATTCTCTACAAATTGATGTGTGCGTACATACATGCTTCTTTCACAAGCAGACTTGTTTATATAGGAAAGCAAGAGACATTGTCCATAAAAGCAAGTTTAATGATAATAACACACTTTCCTTTTGAAGAATATCTTGTCTGAAGAAAGTCGTTGGCATTTAATTCTGTCTTGAATAACCAGTAACGCTTCAGAGTCTTCTTTGCTTTAACTGTTGATAACGCTTCAGAGTGTTGATGACTTGGTAAAGCTGTCTTTGTTAAGAGTCAGAGTGTACTTGTTTAAGCGCAGATTCTGGTCATCAACCTTCAGCGTAAAGCATGCTTTGCTTTCAGCGTGTAATGCTTTATTTCTTATCTTCTGATGCTGATCCCATCATAACTTCTGCATATACAAGACATAATTTCAAGTAGCATATATGTTATGTATATATATCTTTGGATTTATTTATTCTTTTTATTTTGTTATCATCAAAACTCTAATCAAGGGTTGTAGAATCAAACTATGTTCTAACAATCTCCCCCTTTTTGATGATGACAAAAACCAGATTTTTCAATTAAGAATAAAGAATAAAAAGTATAGAATTAAGAAGAAAAACTCCCCCTGAGTTGATTACTTCCCTCAAATTCTTTGAGTCCTTGAGCATCAGAATTTGACTACGTCTTTCATCAGAGTTTTATACCTGTTCAAGCTTTTCAGAAGAAAGAAATTAAGTAGATTAGAATGTTTGGGACTTATGTCTCAGTAATCCGTTATTGAAAATATCTTATTCTTTCTCCCCCTTTTTGTCAGTTATCAAAAAGAACATATAATCAGAGCCAAAAAGGATTTATATTAAAATTAGAAGCAACGATAAGAAGTTCAGAACAGTAGCAATGTAGAAAATATTACAGATAATCAGATTTTAAAAATAAGGAAAATCTAGGATGGAGGAGGAAGGCGCGTGAATAAGGCTTCCAACAAGCCCTTGATCTGGGTGTTGGTTTCCTCTTGTTTGCTTAACATTCTCTTGATTTCCGAAATTTTGTCATCCTGTTTATCCATCCTTTCCTGCATAATAATATCTGCTCTCTTCAGTTCTTCTAGAGTCTGCCTTTCATAGGAGGAAGCTTGAGAATCTTCAGTAACTGGATGCTTCTCAGAGCATTCTGCAACATGATCTTTTTGAACCAATTCCTCTGCAGGAATCATCTCATCTTGAGCAGCAGTCAGAGTAAGATCTTTTGACTCTGGTTGAACTTTTCCTACTAGACGATGTTCTGACCAGGAAGCATTGTCTAGAGGGAGAATCTCTTCCTTGAGCAGTTGGCTCAGAACTTGGTCTTCAATTACCTTTAGCAGATTACTGAAATTCTGTTGAACTTGTCCGTAGCTCTGTTCTTGCATCTTATGAGTTTCAGAACTTATCCATTTTCTGAAACTTGTCCAAAGATAATCTGAAGCAGCATGATTAATCATCTCAAGACTAGCTTGCTTCAGGGAGGTTATCCATTTCTGCATTTCTATTTCAAACATCAATAAACTAGTACCAACATCTGGTGTGGATTCAGATGGTTTTGGTTTTGGAATGGTCGTTTTGTGAGTTATGGCAGCAAGATGTTCAAAAACAGTTAGATCAATGACAAGTTTAGCATTGTCATCTGGATTGCTCTTTGGTGAGGGAGTGGGAGAGTCTGGTATAATTATTGGACTAGTTGGGGAGTTTGGTGGAGTTGATTCTAGTGAAGAGGGAATTTGGGGAATATCCAGAATGGTGAGAGGCATACGGATGGCCAGAGGTTCAGTGATACTTGGAATAGGAATGGTATCAGAATCTGAAGTGGGTTCTTCAGATTGGTTGGATTGAGTGTTATGAGGTTCTGGTTCACAGGTCTCAGAGGATTGGATCTCAGAAGTTTGAACTTCTTGTTGAAATAGTTCAGGTTCTGGAGATGATGGATGAATATCTGGTTGAGGAGATGGAGGTAGTGGTATTTCTGGTTGTGGAGAGAGGGGAATTTCTAGTTGTGGTGCTTCTGTAGTGGTTTCAGAGTTTGGATTTTCTGGTGTGGGAGCAGAAATATTCTGGTCAAAAGTTTCAATATCTGACAGAACTTTTGCAAGTTCTGGTTGAGTTGTTTCAGTATTTGGATTGATAGGTAGGGAGTGAGTTCCTCTAAGACTTAGAGTTTCAGAGGGGTAAAAACCTATGTCAAAATCATCAAAGGTTTGAGGGTTAGGAATTTATGAATGGGTAGGTATTGGTTCAGATGTTGATATAGTAATTGATTCTAAAACATTAACAGTAGAAGGATTACCTTTCCTTTTAGCAGCTTTAGGAGTTCGTTGGGATGATCCTTCTGTTGCTGACTTCCTTTTCTTGTTCTTCTTCAGCACAACTTCTGGAGCCTTCTGGTGCAAGTCTTGAATATTTAACTCTGGTGTCGTACCATCTGCCTTGCATGCATCCAGATATCTGACGATAATCTCAGGCTTGGAATCAATTTCTGAGAATATAGGGAAATCATCTAGAGGGATTCTTCTGGAAGTAATGGTTGCAAAGGATGTAACATTGGGTTCCTTTCTGATGTTCTCAATAATCTTCATCTTTTTCAGATTCTTTACATTTAAAGGCTTCCCAGCAGTTTCCTCTAGAGAGCTGATTTCTTGTGCTTCTGTTAGATGCTCTATCAGCCTATTCTCTATCAGAATATATGATATGAGCCTTCCAAGGGGTATCTAGTCCCTTTTAGTGCTCTTATCTTCTCTAGTATCCTTAACACCCGTCCTCAGATGATTGAACAACAAATAAGCCATATTCACCTTAGTCTTCTGGGAGATGAAGTAGATCAGAAACTGCTGATAAATGTTTATGTAGTCAGGAGAGCTGGTTGGCTTCCTGTGATTGGTGCATCCCAGAATTATCTTGGCCCATATTCTATGATGATCCTTCAGATCCCTTATCTTGCTGGAGGGAAGACCCAGAGTGAAAATTTCTCTAGCAATTGAAGCGACATCAGCACATCTTTCAGCCATGTCTATACACCTTATGCCACCACCACTGTAACCTATCAGTCTTGCAATAAGATCTTCAGTTATGACTATCTTCTTCCCCATTACATACGAAGTGACTTGATGGTTGGAGGATGAAGCATGAATCCAAAATTCCTTCACAAGGATTGGGAACGTTGGACCTAGAAGACGGTCAAAATACTTGTTCCATCCTTGAGCCTTTACTTCTTCAGAAAGATTGAACCCATTTTCTTGAAGACTTTCAAAATCCACAATCAGTTCTAAAAGCACTTCTAGGTTGTCAATGGGCGTGAGAAGAGTTCTGAACGGTTCTTCATATTGTTCCATGGATTCTGTTCTCTGAGTACTGGTATTTGGGATGCTTGAGGAAGCCATGTTCACACAGAAAATTTGAGAAGAAAATGAAAGGGTTTTGGAAAAATGCAAACTGAAAACAATTAGATTGTAGAGAAAGTGAAAGTGAAAGAGTATAAAGAGTGAAAAATGCGTTTAAATAGATTTTGAAAACATAAACTGCAAGAGAGAGAAATA